CGGTTACCGGTAAATGTGCGAAACCCGATTCATCCCCCAGCTTGCTACCCTTAGAGGTGAAATATTTTCTTCAAATTGAAATGGGAGCACTACAGATGTACCTTCTTAAAAACAAAAAGAAATCTGGCACGGTATGCTAGAAGACGTCGGTTCGAATCCGGCCGGATCGAAGGAATTTTTTCTGAGTGTTCGATCTTTGTATTAATAATTATAACAAACTAGTGGAGTAATTTCACAAAAAATAATTGAATATCAATTCAATAAAAATTTAAAAAAGAAATCATCAAAATCTGTTCACAAATGCCAGAGTCATCGCGTAATATACAAAAAAAAACATACAGTCAAATTCAGAACCTGCTCCATTTTTGAAGTCGGTTAAAAAGGGAACTAATTTTACAGCCTATACAGTTCGCATGGAAATCAAAACAAAACAACAATAGAATACGTAATTCTCAATTCGAATTATTGTATAAATCTAATAATTACTATATTTATTTCGTTGAAAATCATGACGTTTTTACTATCAGCTGGAAGAGCGATAGTCCAGGTTTGGCGAAAGTCGCTGGTTTGAGTGCCATTCGATTAATGGAATTGTTCTTTGTATTATAAGACTGAGGACTAAGGACTTTTATGCTATAATGCGCAAAATGACTGACTGCCTCGATGCTCCACTGGTTGCGGGCCAGTCCCAACTCCATCTTGATGACTGTGGCGGTCAGATTTAGACTCGCCATGCAATGCCATGCATGCCCCATTTTACCCAAGTGCTGATCAACAGGAATTAACTTTTCCTGTAGTTAAGGCTCTTGTTAGTAACCAATTTGGACCATTACAGTCTGATCTAAAAATAAATTTAAAAAAATTATTGTCCTCTCTTTGTACCAATAATAAGAAATGCAATAATTATTAAACATAAAAATTTGTATTCGGGCGCATTCGGAAATCCAAAGATTGCCGAGAGACTTTAAGAAACTAATCCTGTACAGAAGTGGTCAAAAAGGTAATAATAACGTTTCTCTTAATTATATTCCGTAATAACTCGCATTCGAATATTGAACATGGCCCCCTATTACCTTTGTAATCACTTAATTATTGTTGAATAGTTCAATATTAGATAAAAAATATCAATTGAAATTTGATATAAACTCTACTATGAAAATGTGAGGTTATACATCTATCGGTCAGCCATATTCGTTTACCTTTTTGATGGAGCATAGTGGACTTTATGCACGATTGCGCATAAAGCAAACAAACGAAGTTTCACTCTTTTATATATTACAGAAGTAATCCTTATTTGAGACATGGTTAAGTTTAATTTATCAAGGGTAATGTATCATCAAATACAAAGTATAAAACTTTGTATACAAATACTATGGAATTGTAAGACAATGGGAACTTGACCTTTACACGTGCAGTCAATATTTAGTCATTAGTACATATATTACGTCACGCATCGCTTATACAAATTTACATTACAATTTAGATCCCGCACTAATTAAAAGATCAATTTACACCGGAATACAGAGGGCTATATACCTAGAACAAGTTCATTGTTATTATCAAGCAGCCATTACTAAACCTGATATAATGACCACTATATAGTGGTCTCGGACATTTGAAGTCTTATTCTGTTCATGAGGCAAACTAAAAGTTTATCCACAAAGTGTTTAAAAAAATATGTTTTGTTCTTTCATTTCCTTTTTAAATTAACAACTTTATAAAAGACTCGATATTGCTTTTTTAACCGACTTCAAAAAAAGGAGGAGGTTCTCAATTCGACTGTATTATTATTATTTTTTGTATGTATGTTACGCCATAACTCCGGCCGCAATGAATGATAGAACTGTGAATGAACGATGAGTGAACCGATTTTGATGATTCTCTTTTTGATGAAAAAAAAGGCACGTCAGTATTGGTTCCATTTAAGTTTGAATAAAATATTGTACCTCTAAGGGTGGCATATGAATCCGGTTTCGCGCACTTTCCGGTAAGCTATTTCAATAAAACTTGGCAAATAAATGTAATTCCACGACTTTTAAGGTCGTTTTTTTAAACTAGCAAAGTGAAAAGAATAGTTTATTTAGTAGAATTTATTTTTACTAATCTCCACAGTTTCTTTGTTAAGCAAAGTCCCCACCCTCTTTCCCTCCACTCACAGTTAATTTTTTTTTTAACCGACTTCAAAAATGGAGGAGGTTCTCAATTTGACTGTATGTTCTTTTTTTTTGTTTTTTTTTTTGTATGTATGTTACGCGATAACTCCGGTATTTGTGAACCGATTTTCATGATTCTTTTTTTGTTGGAAAGGGGGTACTTCCATAGTGGTCCCATTTCATTTTGAAGGAAATCATCCACCTCTAAGGGTGGCTATTCACGAATGAAGATTCATTTTTATAAATAGCGCCTAACTTTAATTTAGGAGCAATTGCTTTTAGCAATTATTTAGTTGATTTTGCTATTTCTCCAATTCAAGGCGTTTTTCACTCGATATACTTTGAGTAGTGTCGTAGTGAGAACCTATTTTTATTATCTCCAGTATCAAGACCTGTATAGTGGCGAACTAGGGGATATTTCAATGAAACTTAGCAAATAGACATAATTCCACGTACTTTTGAGGTCGGTTTTTTTAGTACTCTGTACTGAGATTATTTGTAATTTTATAAAGCTTTGAGCTCACAAATATAAATATTACTATTGTTAACTATATGATGTCTACTGTATGATATCAACCAAAAGCCGTTGTAGACTAATGGTTTGACCTACCACCTCTTAAGCAGAGACATTGGGTTCGAATCCGGACTCGCATCTCTGACTTTCTCGGAATTTGTGTGGAAATTTAATTTCAAATTTACCTGCTCATCGAAAAAGGTTCACAGCCTTCGGAAAACGTGTGAAGTCCCCAAGCCATGTTGAGCCAGTGTGGCGGACAATGGCCTAAGACCCTCGCCTGAAAGGAGACTCGTGCCCACCTGTGGGACGCATAATATAAATAAGTATATTATAATGTAAATATAAGGTTAGGCTTAAGAACAGGTACATGACAAAAAGAGTAAGGCAGGGTAAACTAAATAACAAGTATGGCAAACGATGTACATATTATTTAGTTCCAAAAATATATAACGACATTGATTGGCGAAGGAATGACACAAAATTAAGCAAATATACAATATATGTAGGTTAAAGGCGTACCTACCTCTTAAAGTAATTTCTATATTGTATTATAGTAATTACACTTAATACTATCTACTGTTATAAAATATATAGTAAAGTAGGTAAGTGTGCACATGTCGCCAACGAACTGCATAGCAGTTTGGCGAATCTTAGTAAATAAGTTACCTGCAGTATTTTCCGTGAAATAAATTGTGGATTTTGGTGGATTGATTGAACACTACTGCTGCCGGTGGACACAGCGGGCCCTGTTTGTTTACAGTCTCGGGGGCATGCTGTGACTCCAGTTCCGTTGGCTGCGCTCGACCCACCTTGCAAAATAACTTTTGATGGATTCTTGATCCAGTTCTGTAGGTGGACTGTAATATTTTAGTTCGGCAAGATCCGCTTGTAGCCTTTTGTCTATCAAGTTCATTTTAATGCGAGCTCCAACTTCTTCCGCCGTGCTACTACAGAAGATGAATACGACTTTGTGAAGATTACTTTATTGTTTCCGAATAGGCAGTGTTACGTGAACAATGAGGTTGCGGTTCTTCGTTTTTTCTTTGTTGTAATTTTTTAACACTACCCACATCTAAATTTATAGTCTTGTCTAGCATTTTCTTTTGTTCTTCATCTTTTATAGACGTTCGTGGTTGCTGATTTAGAAATACTTTTCGTTCTTCTTCTTTCTTTGCCTGTTCTCGTCTTGTAGTGCTACGTGTGTTGTTAACCATCTTCGCTGATGTATGGAACATTTCCGATCCGGCTCGACGACCACTTTGTAGCTTTTGTGGGTTTTAACCCAATAAAAGATGGTCAAATTACGCACTTTGAACTTTAATCAATAGTAATTGGCAATTTGAAAATATACAAAATTGGTGAAAGAATTTATTAAGTAAAAAAAATATAACATTCGTTCGAGTCAAGCTCGCAATTCGATCTCTCCCACTTGTGGGCCGCACGCGCCTCACGTGGCCCCACCCCGCCGTCGTCGGCTAGCTCCGGCTCGCGCCGGTTTGTTCGGCACCAATGTCAGTCATTCTACTGATGCCACAATTTGAAGTGAATTTCACCAAAAAGCCAGGCACAGAAAAGATACTTACACTGATACTTTTTACATTTATAACTAAATCACAGATGTAACTACAGACGTTATCATTCAGGCTAAATTGTAACGTTAATATGTATAAAGTATTTCTATTTTTCAATATTTCGAAATCATTAACAATGATTTTGTCTTTAGCGCCCTTTTTGTGGCCCTTGTCTATCACATAGGCAACCCCAAAAAGAATAACACATTATAATTACTATTTTTTTTTTTTTTTTTTTTTTTTTGTACTTGACAAGCAAATGACTCCACTCCACCTGATGTTAAGTGGAAAGTGGTATCCAAACGCGAAGGAACTATTATAAAAATGCTAGCATACCTCACGAATTTTTCTATGTGCTTGTTATTGGATCTTTGTATCTGGTTTTTAACGACTTTTTAGCCGTAGCGCCATCTATGAGCTGGTTCGTTTCCGTGGCTTAGTTGGCGTAACGTTTGGCACGATTTACTAGAAGTCGTCGGTTCAAATCCGCCCGAATCGAAGGATTTTTTCTAAGTGTTCGATCTTTGTATTAATAATTATAACAAACTAATGGAGTAATTTCACAAAAAATAAATGAATAACATGGTGGTCAAGCATCCTGACATTCAATAAAAACACTTAATAATCACATTGCTTCCAACAAAATGCAACAAATGAATGACTACCTATCATTTAAAAGATCAACTTATACAGGTCAGAGTAAAATAAGTTTTTTCCGCTTACTCATAGTTTAAGGTAAACATGTTCGGACCAAGCCGTTTAAACATCCAGTGAGGCAGTGTATCGCCGTCATTGCTATCCACTGGCCGCGCCACAGTTCTCACATATTGTTTTTAAAAATCGGTAACAATGAAGACCGCACCTATTCTCCTCATCGTCCTTCTATCAATCATTTGTTTGAGCGAATGTAAAGATCTGATTGTGGGTACCACTTACAACAATCGACTCCTGTGGCAACAAAAGGTCGAGTACAACGCAATCCCCTTGAAGAAAAGGGTTAAGGAGGTATTCTACAGCGATCCCGGACAGCAAATCTTTAAGGTAAATAAATCAATTGTAGTGGAAAATGTTTTGTTGGCTTTCGATTGGCTCACGGTAAATTTTTTCTTAAGAAAAATACTTGTTCTTTGTTTATAATTGTATGTCAATTCGTCCGAAAGGTACCATTTTTAAGTATCTCACAATCTTGTTTTGATGCTAATGCTTTTACGTAATGATATGAATCTGTACAAATATAATATGTTTGAAGTTGATACGGTATGGTATGGTGTAACTGGTTGGTTTTTGCGACTTGACATCGTAACGCCAATTCTGTTTGAACTAAAAATAACAATATTATACTAGAAAAGTTATTTAGATAATTATAACCTTATTATTATATATAATAATTATAGCAAAGTTTTATTGAAATCAGTTAACGGAAAGTGGATGACACCGAAACAAATTTGCTACCCATATTGTCTTCATATTTGAATGGTGCCACTAATGAGGTTCCTACAAAAAGAAAAGAATAATGATTGAAATCGGTTCATAAATGTCAGAGTAATCGCGTAACACAGACACAAATAATTGAATGAAGCTGTGGTAGCCTAATGGTTTGACCGACTGCCTCTCAAGCAGAATATCGTGGGTTCGAATCCGAGCTCGCACCTCTGGGTTTCTCGGAATTTATGTGCGAAATTTAATTTGAAATTTATCAAGAGCTTTTCGGTGAAGGAAAACAACGTGATGAAACCTGCACGTTGAAGAAAGTTCACAACCCTCGGAAAACGTGTGAAGTCCCCAACCCGCATTGGGCCAGGGTGGGGGGACTATGGCCTAAACCCTCGTCTGAAAGGAGATTCGTGCCCAGCAGTGGGACATATAAATGGGTTGTTGATGATGATGATGATGTTGATATACACACAAAATATTACAGTCGAATTGAGAATCTCCTCCTTTTTTTGAAAACGGTTAAGAATTATTAATTTTCAGAAAATGTAACACTAGCATGGACCATACCTTATTAACATTTATTTAGAAAATGTTTTTTTCTCCAAACATTCATACAAAACATATATATGAGTACGTATGAAACAGGATCGTGGACAATGTAATTAATAACAGAGTTATGTATGTCATTTCGACTCATCCGAAGAACAGAGTCCGATGTGATTACATAGCGAAAAGGAATAAGTACGTTACGAGGTAAAGGTGTTTTGAGAATTTATATATCTTATTTCGTTTCGGAAATATAAAATCTAACAACAGCCGACCTGACATCCACAGCGAAGAAGAACAAACGTACTGAGAACTAGTAGTCTTGCACATAGATCTTGTTCACGAATGAGTCGATTTTTGTATACAGACTTTATCTGTGGTGCTATCGAAATTTAAAATTAACTTTTGTAATATGCAAACAATAGATTATAATATTATAATAGGCAACGCCTAAAAAATCACTAGAATCTAGTTGCAATTTGCGAATCGGTTTTATATTTATGTACATAATATTTTATATACTCGTATATGCACTTGGAGGTCGATAAACGAGCTACCGTTAGATTTTACGTTTGGTAGAAATCGTAACACCAGAAATAATCATCATCAAACGTAAAAAAACATCGGAGGTCCGGTTTATTTGCTCCCAAGTGTTAGTTAATTAAATTTTGTAGAATAAACGTAGATCACAATCGTGAACCTGATCAACAGAACACGATCTACGCCTGTCGACGAAAACATTAACTATTACATGAAATTAAACAGTGTTAAGGGCCATCACCCCAAAATTAGGACGTCATGAATTCGCATACATCCCTATAAATTCTACGAAGTCGATCGATAACTTATACCAAACTCATTTGGTACAAGTTTTGGTACAAAATGGAAAGGTGGTAGGTGTCATATTACGCCTTAAGAGCTACATACTAAGATACGGTTAATAGTAAACTATACCATCAGTATACAACAGTATGTTTACACGTGCCACTACTGGGCACGGATCTCGCCTCAAGCGAGAGTTTAGGCCATAGTCAGTAGTAGTTAGTAGTTGGCGGTAAATTCGAAATATTTTTGTTTCGCCCTGCACCCCGAACGGTTACCATACTGGACAGCCAAGCAGAGGTCCTGGATTCCATTGTCGTATTCGAATACAATACATTACTAAAAAGTAAATAACGCACACACTTATAGCCCCGCACTACCTGTATCGCAGGTGCCATGGATACACACATAGACAACCACAAATTACATCCAAACTCACGAGAGAAATAAATGTAAGTCGTACAAATAATTCTCCCAGTCCGGAACCTCTGCGTGGCAGCCCAACATGGTAATCGTTCGACCACCTATGCAGAGCGAGATAAAAATATTTCGCACTTACCGCCAAATACTAAAACAAAATGGCGTCGATCTTTCCTTATTAATAAGAAAAATATGCGAGGTTAATTTGAGTTTACAGTTTTCGAATTTGCAACGACCTAGGGTTTTGACTGCAGGCTTTTTTCCATGTCACAATATCGTCATAGTACCATTGCCTCAAAGAAAATGTTATTACTCATGTACTCTTTTTCCTTCGTTCTGCACGGACAGGCGAAGATCAAAGACCGCACTGCTTGGTCATTAGTTTCTCTTTTTCTTTAATAATATGCTTCAATTTAATTCTTTTGTGTCAATTGTGTGAAGATGTTTGTGGTACTGACTATATCTATAATGAGGTGAGATGAGAATATAGCAAGTTGACAACGTGGTCAGATGAGATTATGGTGAGTTCAGGACATGGTGAGATGTAAGATAAGATAAATTTATTTCAATATTAACTTAATCTAATACAATTATAATGAAAACAATGTAATTGAAGATAAAATATTAAAATAAATAGTAATAAACAAAACAAAAAAAATCTAAATTATATAAAATAATCATGGTAAAATTAAACATTTTAATCTTAGTGCCTAACAGTGCAATTGCGATGCCTAAACTAAGTACATGTGTACCTGTATTTTAGGCATAATAGTGCATTTTTCATAACAAAGCTTAAAAAAAAAAAAAGATTTTATAAATTTAACAAATAAAAGATAAGTAGTTATAAGCCGTTACAATTTATAAAAGATAAGTAGTTAAACATTACATATTATATAAATATAAATTATGAAATAACTTCCAACAAGTCCTCGGTATCATTGTAGGTTTTACTCTTAAGCCAAAATTTGACGGTCTTTTTACATTCAGTTTTATTCATATGAAAATGTGAATGTGGTGAGTTGAGGTGGTGGTAAGATGAGGGTGTGATGACCTGATAAGAATTTCGTAACCAGCTTACAAAGGGTGGCGAGCTGAGAACATGTTACAATGAGAATGTGGTGAGCTGAGTATATGGTGAATTGAGAATTTGGTAACCTGTTCACAAAGGATATCAGAAAAAGCCGTCTCTAGTATTTAGTTTAAAATATTAATAACACAGGACATGAAAAACTATCAGTAAGATGTTAACGTCAAGTCTCTTTAAATTTCGTCATCATCATTCTTAGTTGAATGATTTAGTTATTTTTTTATAAATTTAATAATTATCTTAATAATTCCAAAGACAAATTCGATGATAATTTGCCAGTCAACTAATTTTTTAAATTCTTTAATAGGAATTTTCCTTTTCCTCTAAGGGTGAAGCCAGACGAGCGTAATTTTGTGAGTTGTGAGTTGCAGTTTTTGAGTTGCGCAGTTTGCGCTCGACCGAAATCTAGTTGGAGCGCCATACAAACGTATTTTATTCAGTTGCTTTTGAGCGTTTATACGGGGTGTTTGTGTCGTTATAGTGTCATGGATACATTCAAAATAGTATGCATTTATGAAGCATTAGAAGACGAGGTTAAAAAAATAAAAAGAAGCTGGATACATCCACTTAATATGAAACGATTAAAGTGTAGACAGTGTCACATATTGTATACAAGTTTATGTGAACACGTAGATCAATTTGCTAAGTACTATCACATGCCAATAAATGTTTTTCGAGAATTATTAAGCCTAGTAAAATATTTTATTACAAAGTCAGATACAAATATGAGACAAGCTACCAGTCCAGAGGAAAGACTAATAATAACGATCAAGTAAGTTGTTCAATTATTTATATTTCAATCTCCGTATCGAACATTTTCGCAAGAAACGTCTATAATCACGCGCATCCTATACCAAAGTGACCAAAGGGTCCACCCCCACCCCTACCTCCACTCGCGACAGCCCGTCGCACGATGCGACCGAAAGTCAGTCGTTATTACGCCTGTGAGTCGGCAGATGACTCATTTTGCGTCGTCGTGTGAAACAAACTGTCCTTTTATATGAAACCGAATACAGCGCGAACTACGCAAGTCAAACTACGCGACTCACAACTTACAATATTACGCTCGTCTGGCCTCACACTAAGGAAAGAATTAAAAAAATCTAAAAAAAGGTTTAAAACCATACAGCTAAGTCTTGGTGATTTTTTATTTTTGTGAGTTTTTCAACGAATGTCAGCCCATGTCAAAAACCATTCGCTTATTACGAGTATTATTTATTTATGTCTAAATGTTACATAAGATGCAAATACTACATCGAAGATTACGTGAGCTAAATTCGTAAACCTCGAACTTTCATTAACTCTATCTATGATCATATCTTTATTTTATAACTAAAAAGCCTAGCCTTAAACTTTAATTGTCCGATATTATGCTTGAAGACTAAGAAATGGGTTTCGTCAAAAAACGGAGTTACGAGATTTTGAAATTTCGAAGAGGTTATGTATTTCAAAATATCTAAACCAACGGCATTTTTTGTCCTTCTCTTACTGACGAAAGAGCAAATTATCCAGTACTAATAATATTTTCTAAGAATCAAACTTGTATCCTAGTTGCAAATATTATATATAATATATATAATATATTCATTTGTTTATTCATTTCGATATTAAGGTGTCAGAGGGCTCCCGTGACACATCAACCATCAACCACACATAATGTTTTTTGTGATTGCAATTTATTAAATACGAGAAATCAAATAATATATAATATATATAATAATGATACTTTATT